ATCACAGAGAAAGTCACAAGGAGAAGATGCTTTCACGATTGGGCCAGCATGCACACAAGAAAGCTCGTCTTCTTCATCACCGTAGCTTCTGAAACTCCAACTACACCATCGCCAACATAGATCCAAGCTTTTTTTTTCGTCTTTAAGCCAGGGATACCCATTGTAAGGCTTTAGGGTCACCTAAGAAGGCAAGTTTATCAAACCAAGATCTAATTGCAATGATTGACAATTAATCCCCCACCTACCTTACCATGATTTTAGACCTATAAATAAGATTAGCTACCATTCCTGCTCCACTCATCGCCCCCTCTAACTTTTGGTCATCCATTTCTCTCGTGTGAGTAACCAAATAAAACACTTCGCCAATCTCAATTTCATAGCCTCAACCACCATAGATGCCAAAGTTGTTGAACCCAGCCTCATTCCCAAATACACCTTCACAAGCCAATGCATCTACACCAACCACCCACGCACCCAACAGATGCTTGCACACCACTCTTCGGCCACCGCCGTGGAGAAGAGCCTTGAAGCTCGCTACCATTATAAGCAAGAAATACTCTCCCTAATGAAAAGCCCAAGGATGGAGAGGGAAATCCTAGAGTTTCAAAGAGCCGAAAGGCTCTCACTGCTATAGAGAACGGAAATTCAATGATGGGTAAAGTTAGAAATTCTTTTTTTTTTTTTTACAAATTTAAGGTATCAACTACCAATCCTTAAGAATTGTAAAAGAAAAAATTAACTGTTTTTATAATCAATTAGGAGCCGAGCGAGTACGTTTATTGGTAAAAAAGATTATATTTAAAGCCTTCGTGATAGCCGGAGATTATTTATTCTAATTATTGTTTTTGGCGGCGTATGTAATTTAAAATTTAAATGCAGTTCAAAGAAACCCATGGAGGGCAACGTGCGCATGCCAAGGAAACGACGAAAGTTAGGGCTGTTAATTTAGTTATGCAAATTAAGATCATTACCCTACGTGGAATTTAGCCAGATGTAAACGGACAATGGGGAATTTCTTTTTTTTAAAAAAAATATGGTGATTCGCGCCCAGGGGGACAAAGCTGTCCCTACAGTGTATTGGAATATGAAAGCAAAGGGAGAATATCGCAAATTACATATTCTTTCTGTACTGGCTTGTTTGCTTTCCTTTGAATGGCCGGGCCACATGAAGCTGCAAAATTAGCTAGCGAACCCTATTTATATTAAATTAATTATTGATTTAATTAAATATTGTCCACGCTTATAGGTAGAAATAATTAAACTTACAAGAATATTATAAATGATAACATATTGTATTTATTCCAATTTATACGTTTAATAAACGAGTTTCGTATTTGATTGCTTAGAAAAGAGATGGACCCAGGAAGGACAGTCTATAATACAGAGTAATGATCGATGCATGTGCATGGACTTTATAAATGCGACGTACTTATAATAATATTATCTTCTGTTTGGCTTGCTTTCTTTGTAAAATTTATATTGTTATCTATTTACCAAAAAAAAATTATATTATTATCTTTTAAGATCTTAAATATTTTTACTACACTACCTTGTTTGCCATAAAATTTAAAACTCAATCATTTTATTGTGACTAAAATTATTTCTTTTTCCAAATAGAAATAAAGGGGAGGCGGACCAACGTTGGAGGGCAGCAACTCCCACCAAGGGGCAAATTTCATATTATATATGCCCTTAAGAAAATAATTACCAGCACTCCTAAAAATTAAATTTTTCATTTATGCCTCACAAAAAAATTATAAAAATATGATTTTCCCTTACATTGATTACAAGCATAAATTTTATAAAGATAACACTATATAGTAAAATATATTTGAGCTTCACCAATAAAATTATGGTATCTACGAAACAATCATGAGATATTCGCTAATTTTATTATCATAATTTTTTTTTACATCTTTGACACACACACATACTTTCAAGTTGCTAATGAATTAACAACTTATAATAAAATGAAAAATAAATTGATTTAATTATTTATATTTAAAAAGTTATCAAAAGAAATTTCAGCGCCATATTAAGGAAGTAATTAAATATTTTATTTGATAAAAATAAAAGATCGTGATTCTATTTGTTAATACATACTTCTACCACTTTTTAATATAAGTACTTCTTATGTCTAGCCAAAAATATATATATAAATACTTCTTATAATAATATAATTTTACTTTTACGTTGTTATCATAATTATATCATTTTTAAATTTTTCCTTAAAATTTAATTTTAATAAATTTTATTGCCTTATCAATTTAATTGATATTTATAATATGTTTTTAAATAGTCATTATTTATATTACAGACAATTTATTTTTTTGTGTGCAAACCAGTTAATTTTTCTAGGTCCGCCCCTGGCATTGCTCTCACCGGAAAAAGAATAACCCGGAAGATTTTTTTTTTTTTTTTTGCACTAAAAGACATACTGATTTGTATAAAATTGAAATAGAAATTTATTTTTCAAGACTAGACGCGCTTTCATGCATGTGTGAGGAATAAGTCATGTTAATTATATTCACTTGTGAGTAGTATGACAGCTTGGTATTTATGAATTAATTTAATTTTTAAATGGATAAAAATCAACAATATAATTCATCATGATGTTTTATTATTGGGTTTAAATCTTCTAAAATTAGAATTAGTGAATTTTTCCTTTTTAAGAAAGAGATAGAGATAAGATTTAATTTTATATTTTATAAAAATAATATAATAAGCAAAAATACTAAAAAAGACTAAACTTGCCTAAATTTATCAATTTTAATTTCAAAGGTTTTAAATCATTTATTATTTAAACAAAGAAGGGAAAGTATTGATTTGTTGTCGGATAGCCAAATGTTTAAAGAAAAGTGGGCGTGAATTGATCGATGATAATGGGGCATGAACGACGTACGTGAGACGGTGTGTGAAAACTTAGAATTGATGAGAGGAGATAGATGATGTGCAATTGGGCATGTGGGGCGAGTAACGTTTCCATAAAAGGGCACGAGTGCTTAAATCGACTAATAAGAGTTGTCTCAGTTTAATCAAAAGTCTTGGATTTCGAGTTCTAAAGATACAGAAATGCTTGTATGCATCGATCTTCTTGCCCCATCAACGCACAAGGGCTTTGCATTTGATCCTCGATAACTGCTTATCTCTCTCTCTTACGCTCCTTCCTTGACCGTGTTTTCTTCTTTTAGATTTGTAATTCGCACCAGATGAGTCATCAGTGGGAAAAAGAATGAGCAAAGCCCCACATGGCCTTTCACTGACACCGCACAGTTGAAGCCATGGTTTTACACAAAACCCCTTCTTCACCCAAAAGGCAGCTCACCATATTTATAGTTTTGTTCTTTCGGTTTTGCTGATTTCCCTTCCTCCACCACTGTAGCTTCTACAATACATTGCATACGCACTTGTATCACGTTTACGTACCGTGCCACATGGCTGAAGAAGAGTACATAGAGAGAGAAGGGGGGGTTGATAATTTTGACGAAAGGTCGTATCAGGATACAGTGGTTGATAGACGAGGGAGGATGTGTATGTACTGTAGGAGGCATCAGTATATGTTGCCAATCATGCTGGGCTCCACCCCACCTTGCAGATTTCAGCTATATACCTTGCCTTTAATTTCCCCTTTCTCTCTCCCCCTCCCAAAGCTGCCCACCAGATCCATGCTCCTCATTTCATTCCACATCTCTATTATACCTCACCCGAGTTCCCTCAGGGACCATCATCATTTCATTCATCCACCCCCATCAATAAATCTTTCCCTTTCCTCCTTTACACACACACACACACACTCTCTCTCTCTCTCTCTCTCTCTCTCCCCCCCCCCCGTAAGCTAATATTTTGCCTTTCAATTTTCCTAGCAACCACGGCTCTCAAATTGCAACAAAATTTCAGTCTAAAATTAAGCGCCTATCTAGATTGTTCCATGCTGTCAAGTTTACTGGTGAATCGAATCTAATTAGTCTTTACCTCTATCACCCTTGAAGTCATTTCATCCCAAAAATATATATGCGGGGAGTCCCGTGTGAGATCTAAGATCTATGTGGCAGCTATAAAGGTTATACTTTGTCAGCCACCTTGTTACCCACTAGCACTACTGAACTTCACTACATCATCTGCATATCTTCACTTGGATAAGTGGGGATGACACGGAAGATCTTCAGAAGAAAGCTATGAAATTCTCCCGGAGTTTTTTGTCCGTGCTCGGCCAACATATTCTCATCTACCAAAAGTGAACACACACACCCATATATATATGCCCACTTCAACATCCATGCATCCAGACATATAGTATAGGAGCACTCGATCGTTGCACGTATTCAGAAATATCTAATTTGCTGAAAACTAGTTCTTTTGGCTAGCTGTTGATATAGCTCTATCAGGGCAAAGAAAAAGGAAGAAGGAGCCGCGCCTATATAAAAAATGGAATAAAAGAGGATACATTTTAAGCTGTATATTCTCCCTGGGGTATGCGCCGCTACTTTATCTTAATTATTAGAAACGCTTTAGCCATGATTTACTTAGTAACACGCTCCTGCCCAATTCCTAACCTGAAACGAAATCATTCTTAGTTATAAAATGCCTGAAGCAGTACTTGAGAGGGAGGAGGGGAGTGAGGAGAGGTTTCTATTTCAACCCCGAGGTCAAGAAAAGTCAATGATGAGAGGTCAACTTTTCAGAAGAACCGGGTTCCTTAATGATGTCTATAGTATCTCTGATATTCCAAAAGAAGGAAGAAGGCCAAAGAAATTAAATCTGATCTGTATTAGTCATATAACTATATCCCTTATCTGTTATCATTGCGTAGATTCTGTTATTCAGTTTCAAGTCTTAGTTAATCTGTTTCATGTACATGCGTCACTGCTTCACGTCTTCATATACTTCTATAAATATAATAGATGTACCAACATGTAATTCAGATTCAACATAATAAAGAAGAGTTGCTTTTCCTTCATTTTATACTCTACATTTTGGCAATCTGAGCATCAAGAAGACGATTCAACGGGGGGAAGACAAAAAAAGCTGGCTTTCCATTTAAACTTGACGTACTTGATCATATATTGTTCTCAATACGAAGCCATGATCGCTATATCAATGCCACTGATCCTTGGAAAAGGTACTAAGATAATTCACATACATAAGTAAAATCACGAATCGGTCGGCCACATGTTTTACTGGGTGGATTCGTTATCCTGCTCTACTTCGGACGCAGGCTCGTCTTCTTCTTCGAAGCCATCGATGCCGTAAGCAGCATGACCACTCCCAAAAGCCTTGATATGATCTTTAAGTGACCTCTTGTGCTTGAAGTCAGAGCCACAAATACAATACCAGAGCTTCCCACAGTTCTTCTCATGGGTTCTCCAATCCCCTCTCACAGCGAAAGCCTTGCCACATTTTCTGCACATGAAGGGCTTAATCCCATGCTTCCTCTTGTAGTGTGTTTGAAGGGTTCTAAAATCCTTAAGGGGCTTAGCCCTAGGGTGGTCAATGTTGTTCCTGCACCCTGGGGCACAACAATAGCAAGGAAGCCTCAGCATGCCCGTCGGTTGGGTACCTCTCAGAGATTCTGGCCCTTTTCTGTACTGTGATCCATGCCCCCACATATGCATCTGAGAAATTACATAATTAAGGACATTCAAAAAGAAATATTATCAAAAGCTCTAATTTTTTCAGTTTAACTTTTACAACCTTAACACAAAAAGTAAACTGTCAGTAAATCTCAACGAAACCTTGTGTACTATATATGCTTTTATGTTCAGCCACAAGGTGTCATCTTAAGGGCGAGGAATGGATATAATGCAGTTATATATGGCTGAAGATTTGTATTCAAGGCCGATCTCAGTCGGGTGAAACAAAGAAGACCGCACCCAATTACTTGATGATTAACGAAATATGTGAAATGCATGTAAACATGAAGTGTTTTTACATTTCATTTTCAGTAATAAATTAAAAGGGAATATATATTCAGACGGCAGTTCAGCGGCTATAGTAACTAATATTCCTTGGAATAATGTATTTTACCCTGAATTCTTGAAAGATTAATTCTGTCAATAAATTGAAGCATTGGATTGGAGAATCTTTGAAACAAAACACCTTAAAGATCTCATGAAAGCTAAATAGATGGTCATTATGTGGATCTAGCTGGAACGGGAAAAAAGTAAACAAGGACACAAGTATAAATTATGAATATGTAAGAGAGAGCAGGAGGGAAGCGCTATATCCCATGTATATACGGGGGGGTTTAAGGGATCGGGATGCTGTTTGGATGCAGACCGAAGGGCCTTAAAGAGAAACAACTTGGGGTGTAAGATTAATATCCTTATCTGAACGATCTGGAGGAAACACTGCAAATTAAATTGTTCAGTTTTATGCAGCTGTCAAAATATGGAGCAGTGGAGCACGGACTTCAATGCAGTAAAGACATGTTAAGGAACAATGGCCTAGTAGTTTAATCCGCGAAAAGGAAAGGTACTGATGCAAGTCATAGTTTGGATCAGGAAAAAAGATCTATTTGCTCATTGTCTAGCTCATCATCCCCGTTTACCATGCAAACCTTTTTTTAAAAAAGAAAAAGAAAAAACTAAATAATAGCTTTAATTATTGTAAGGAATCGATAAAAATGACCCAGGAAGTAATAAGGGGAAAGAAAGTGGAAAAAAAGAAGGAAAGAAAGAAAAGAAGTATGAAGATTGAAAATGGAGCTATCTTTTCCTTCTTCCACGGAAACATGTAAGAACCATTAAGAATTCAAATCTGCGAGAAAAAGTGATAAGACAGAGAGGGCGAATTAAGAAGACGACAAAGAAGAAGAAGAAGAAGAAGAAAGGGAGCCTCTTTAAAAACCAGAAGGAAGGACAAGAAGAGAGAGACATAGAGACCTGCATGTTGTTGTAGCGGTTGAAGGTCTTGGAGCAAACAGGGCAAGAGAACTGGGTAGGACCAATGAGAATCTGAGTAGGAGTAGGGATCCAGTACTGGCCCTTGTTGATCCTGGGGAGTCCAGAGGAAGAATTATCTGCTAGATCAGCGTCACCGTCTGCTGCTGCTGCTTCACGAGCGTGAGTGGAGGAGGAAGAGAGGATAGAGGCCATCTCGGCAGCGCTAGGGCTAGGCAGCCCTATGTGGAGTGCAACAGTCACACTGTTGTCATCCTCTTCCTCGTCCTCGTCCTCCTCATCTTCTTCTTTAGGCTTATTAGGAGCAGCGTCCTCCAGTTCCATGGAAGTACTGCAAGACTGGTGATGACGAGGCTCGTGTTCTTCGTGACGTGGTTGATGCTTACTGGGGTCGAGGTTGAGAAGAGGGAGGGCCTCTCTGGGAGGTGGGGAAGTAGGAGGTGATGAGGAAGAAGAAGAAGCGATGAAGTTGTGGAGATAGGGATGATGGTGGTGGTGGTGGTGTGCCAGAGGAGAAGGGTCAGGAGGAGGAGGAGGGTAATAGTAAGGGAGGGGATTGAATTGAAAAAATCCAGAAGAAGAAGAAGGAGACGGGGAGAAGAAATTGGAGAAAGGATCGGCCATGGAAAGGGTCAAAAGAAAAGGGAGTCAGAGAGAGGGAACAGTAGAAGGCTTTGGTGGGATTGCTTTTATAGAGAGAAAGAAAAAGAGACTACAAGATGGCTGAAGGAAGTGGGGCGTGGACACAGGAGAGTACTGGAGCAGGGAAAACAAGCTTGTAGATGTAGGCGTACTCCGCAATAAATCTCATAATTGCCTTTTCTTTTTGTTATCTCCCATGTCATTATTTTAAATATATGATTAGAGCTGTGTCTTTGCCTGACTCATCATCCAATGCTTAACTCGTAATTAATCAGCTCCTGTATTTTAGGGTTGCAATGGATATTCCATTTAAAAATATAAACCAGGGATAATTTTTCTTTATTTCTGCTTAAAGTCAGCCTTCTGAATCTTTTGTATTTCTTAGCTTTCACAAGATTCTGAATTCTTTTACAATAACCGCAAGCCGACTCTGATTATGTACTTCGTATTTGACATCAATTTACCATCATGAGCGAAGAAAAAATTGACTACCTTTTCAATTGTCAATAACGCGGTATGAATAACTCTGACGTTAAACACACACACACACACACACACTTTTTTAATAAACTAGACTACTTTTTAATCGATCGCACTTATTGCATTAATTGGTTCCACCCTGACTTATTGTTTAATATACATATTTTCCTGGGTTGATAATGTGAGGCATTTTTATAAACTGTTCTTGGTTAAAATATAGAACATTTTATAGTTCTAAGAAATATATTTTATTTTGATCCCTGCGTTGGTTAATATGTGTTGAATAATTATACGTAGAAAATTTTAAGTGTTATTTGTGCACAAAAACGAAACTAAAACAAAGTTAATTCTTCATTAATTTCTTTTTTAAAAAATTGAATTTTCTTAATATGTGTAATATTTATACATAGGAAGCCGTTCCATATTATTAAAACGTTAAATTCTGGGTTAAGAAATAGATGACAAATCTAACCGTTTTAAGTTTTTCTTCGCTGAAGAAGAACTCTTTCTTCTTTGATTCAACTTGGTTTCTTTTGACCGTAAGACCGAAAACATACAAAATTAGTTTTTGAAACCCTGATTAAAAAAATATTTATTTTAACGCCTAACATGATATTTTTTCTGGCTTAAGAATCAGGTGGTCACGTCTCATTTTGACTGACAACTTTGAATATCATGAGATACTGATTTTTTTTTGGTAGATACTAATATGTTTTTAATTCCTGGTTCTAATAGTTTTTAAGAAAAATCTACATATTAATAAAGTTCTCATTCTCATAAAATTATAAATTACTTTTTCCTTTTATCTGTAATTTCAATTATTAATGCACTCAATAAGAGATACATTTATATAAATACCTAGATTAATAAATATAAGAGATAAAATAAAAAAAATGTTCTATATGTACTAAATTACTTATATTTTAAACTAACATTAGTTGAGAGAAAATGTTTATATTTTTTATCTGAAGGAGTATAATCTTATATATAGGCTTGCAAAAGAATGCCATTATCGACAATTTATTATCTATCATAGAACCAGTTTCAGTGCTCATCATACAGATGAGCATTGAGAGCTTGTTGTCAAATCTGAATAATGGTCCAAATTTCTAACTTTTTATTTTTATTTTTTAAAAATATTTAAACGGGTACACAATTTAAAATAAAGATAATTTTTTAACTGCCATTTTTTCCAAAAAAAAACTCGTTCCCATCCAATTAACCTCCAGCTTCATTTATTGTAATTTATTAATTCTTCCATTTATGCGTTGGTTTCTGTTCAGTGGCATTCGCCATTCAGCATAGTCAATATCTTTATAATTCTTTTCCCTCTTTTTTTCTCGGCAGATGAATGAACATTTATCACAAACATCAATTTTAACTTATAGGAAATTAATCAAAAGCCTGTGTATGGGAATATTTTTTGAAAAACAGAGTCCGATAATTTTATTAAAGAACAAGAAATTTTGTGAATTATTGTTTAAAGAAAATTCTACGTGAGTTTTGTATTTTTAAAACAACATTTTTCTCTTGATTAGAGGAGCTATCTCTAACCCCTTGGCCCTTGCATACTTTTAAAATATAATGTTATAAAATTACTTTAGTTTTATAAATTATCATACAAAATGGAAATAGTGTTAGTTATCACCTAGTTAATTATTTACGTTCCCCCTTTGCACGATATCTATATAGCATCATAATGACTTCAGGCATTTATTTTAGATGGATATACAATTTTCTGACGTGTAATATAATGATTGTTTGGAGAATAAAGTGATATTTTAAAATTTTCAGGTATTAATATTGATCAGCGATGAATAAATTATATATACTGGCAAAAATGTGCTGGCATGGACCTAACTACGGACTGAAGGTCATCCAAAAAGTTCAAATCCTGCTATAATAAACTAGATTTTCTGAATTCACAACTTTATTATGCGATGTTAATTAACCGGTTAGTAGGAAAGGCAGATAAGTAATCAATACCTGCTTAATCAAAAAATATACTCTATATAGATAGGAGTGCTTAAATTGGTTCTTACTTTGGCAGTTAGAGTGGGAAACCTTTTTCTTGTCCAATTTAACCTTAATCAAAAAATTGGTGTGTAAATTAAAAAGAGAATGATAGCTTCTCAAAAAATAAATTAATGACAGTCAAATTTTGATAATGGTTTTTTTCCCAAAAAAAATTAGTTTCATTTATCGATTCAAATAATCATAAACTTAGGAGTTATGATCATGAAAAACATAATTAAATTCTAAATGCAATTATCAATTTGAACTGTCTGAATTAATGTTTATTATTTAGTATTTTGTCACTCAATTTTTTTAAAAAATTTGTTAGGACTTTAATTATCATTAATTTGATCTTTCAACTCTTTACTATCATTCTCCCCAAATCAAACCCTCAAATCAAAACATAATGAAACAATCCATACACCTCCACACGCAAACACGCACACTTTTACTTGAATTACAGGTAAAGCAGTGGTAATTTAGATGGTAATCTCGGCGTAGTCGCAAGTGGGATGAAAATATCGGAAAGAATGATTATAATTGGGAGCGTATGGATCAGAAGAGAAACGGAGGCGTGTCATTAGATCAATAATGTTATTTTGTCTGTCAGAGGGCGAAGGGTGTGGCACAACGCAGATTGGGCGTGTGGCTGGCTGTTTGATGTTGCGATGAAAACATTCTGTACGTATAACAGTAGTTCATAATGAACCTTACCTATCAGTCTCAGTTTTTGGCCTTGTTCAAGTTTTATTAATTTCTTCCTCCCCCGCGCCATGAATTAATAAGCCCAGAAATTTCAAATTCCCATTGATTTAATTTAATCCTACTTAGATTGCACGCATCCCAGTTTAATTAGATCAGACAGCCATAAAGCTTACAACAACGTGTTTCTCAAATCCACCATCATCATTCATTGACAACAACAATCAGCTCTAACCAGTCCCCAACATTTCCATCGGTTTGCGCACCACCCGGTCGGTTCAAACATCTCTCTGCTGTAGTGAGATTTCTTAGACATACGCATACATACATGTTATCTCAATCTTTCATAAACCCATTATATTATTATAGTTATATCATATATATTAATGATCCTTGCTTGCTCATTTTTGCTGTCACCTCCAGATTGATCTTGGGTTCATCAGGTGCGCTAGCTAGCTTTGATGAATAATAAACAAATAAATATAGGTAGGTTGCATGTCGCGGTGGAATAGTGCAACAGCTGTTTGTTGTAATTCCTGAGAGACAGTGAAAACTTCAAAAAGCAGACCATCTTGGATTATTAACCTCAGGTTTGTATATGACTATTGAGTGGGGGAAGAGGAGCTAGCTAGCATTTAATGAGACACATGCTGTTCACAAATTGACCGCAGAGATGGCAAAAAGAGCCAGAGTGTAGTGTTGGCCAGTGTGAGAACAGCAGTCTAAAGACTAGGAAGAGCGAGGAAGAAGCAAACAAATCAAAAGGCGGTAGAATTATATAGAGTCACATACTTGTGTATTAGCAAAAGACAGTGCACATCAACACTTAAATTATATGCCACCACCAATTTGGAGGCAGTTCAAACATCACTGGCAATTGGCCTTCCACTTCCAACCGTGGCTCCCGGGTATTGAGAGTGATGGCTTGCTCTCATTTTCATTTTCAAATTGTGCCTCACGGGGCCAGCTGCGTCACACTTTGTGGTTTTAGATCATGAAACCTGGCCTATTCCTGTTGACAGTTTTGCAAACTATAGGCGCATGAAAAGGGCTTAGGCTGTTGGCATTATGTATGCTTCATCAACACATATATAGTCAAGAAGGAATTAATACTGATTGGCGCTATAGCTCATGCATGACCATGAATCTAGGTCTTTCTTATCCCTGCGAGAGCAGCTACATGCTCATCTCCAACATTTAGAACCACTTTCTTCTGCTCCTGTCGCTTTCTAGCTTGTCTTTAATTTTCAAAAGTTTCCCCTTCTGCTAAAAGCTTCTTAAGTTGGCTTGCTTTTGTTTTTCCTCTTTATACATATCCTTGTTAAAACATCCCATCTGACAACATGATTTACTATATGCATGATAAGCATTGTTTTGCTTTACAGTTCAAGATCATTTTGAATACCAAAATATAGTGCATTTGTAGGATCCATCTGCACTGAACTGGAACTGTAGAAAAACTGTGCCTTTAAATTTGCTTTCAGTAGTTGCACTGTTCTTTATTACTCTTCACCTAGTAGCTCGTCTCTTTCACACCCCACTCTGACGCAGTCTTAACAGATACTACACACGTAACAACAGGAAAAACAAAGAGAAAATAACACTCTGTCATTGTATTTCGATAGCAGTTTTTGGTCTTTATAGTTTATAATTTATTTCATGATTTTATATATCATTTATTTGCTTCGTGGACCTGAGAAAAATTAAAGCATTTAGATCTCGGTAGAATCGCCATTTGGGTAGCCAGTAGCTTGTGGTCATTGTAAGTTTTTTTTTTTTTCAAGAATAAAAGGACTATGGACAAAATAAATGAAATAGATGAAAAACTATAAAAATAAATAAGTAACAATTTGATTGAGGGTGATATTTGATTAAAAATATCTTACATTTTTTAAAAAGGAAGTAAGGATTAAAAAAAATAGGATTATATAT